ATCTTCCCTAAACCACATTATTCATCTCGAAGAAACACAAACAGACAGGGCGATTCAACCTGAGTCTTTTTATTCTGTAGCTTTAAACCTCTCAAACACTGGGCACCTTATTTTGAAATTTCCATTGGGAAAATCAGGTACTGGTGGGCCTAAGGGGAAAAGAGATTGTAACTCAGAGCCAGCAGGAACATGAGGAATCCAATGACAGCTTTTAACAGTAAGTTGGGCCTTTCAGGTGCACATTCAAGAAAATAATGTCCATGCATTTTTCACAGACGCGATGAAGAACTGCACAGTCCAATGGCAAATGTGCAAGCAGTACTAAAAATAAGGCCCCTGAGCAAACACGATTTCCAAATGCAGCGTGGCCACCAAGAGAAGAATGAGATACTAGAGGGTTCCAGTAGAGTCCCATCCATCCTTCACGAACACTGTGCCCGCAGGCCACCGGTGGAGATGGCTGTAAAAGGAAGGTGGCCCTTGGTGATCATCTTGCTACGCAGAACTCTAAAGGCAGTGATTTATGGCCCAATCCCAATATACACGCTCTCAGACATGCCAGCATTCTGGCACCAGACAGTTTGCTTAGTTTGATGTTTTATACAGATCCTTGCCTTGGAACTGAAGGCTTGTCAGAGATGAGGTGCCACCAATGCCTTAAACATGCTCATCAATCCAGACTTGACTAGTAGTAGGTTGGGTTTTTAAGTTGTATCCTGAATCTTTCACACGAATATCTGGATAAAATATTGCATACTGTACCTGGGTTAGCTGTGACAATGAGCATCAAAAGAAGGGACACTTTATTATGTGTTGGTATGAATGAGCCAGATCACTCACGGTTGAAGAGTGAAAGTCAGACTTCCCGGAGGAAGATCCCAGTTTTGCCACTCACCACCTGACTTTGTATAAATCACTTGACTTCTCTGGGTCTCAGTTTCCTTATGTTTCATGTAGGGGATAATAAGACCTGCCATATCAGGTTGGTAAAAGGGTTAAATGACAAATTCTAGGGAAAACACTGGAAGAGTCTCTAGCAGAGAGTAAGTGCTCAATTAAAATGTGGCATTGATTATATTCATTGAGTACAGGTTGAAGTACTTACTACCGCTAACATTCTCTTCATTCTAATGCAAACATTTCCCAAAGGAAATCACATTTCCAATGATACTAGTTACTGTGTTTCTACATTCCTTTTACTTGTGGTAGGAAGTGGTAGCAACAAGCATTGCAGAGACTTAAATCCACAAAACCGAGCCATATAGCACTAGCGTCTGATTTCCAAAAGATTTTAATTGACGTCTGAATCCACTGCCTGGGAAGAAAGATGCTACTGTGAAGAAGGATTAGAAAGGAGCTTGTGGATTTCATTTGGTTTCATGGGATGGTGCTGAAGAAACACAGGTGAACACATGAGGAGTAGAGTCATACATGAACTTTGTACTATTTGTGGAATTATAAAATGGCGGTTCCTCTCACATTTTCCCCTTCAGCACTTGCAATGCTTAGAAAATGCTCTGGACATTAGGATGATTTTGATTCTTATCATATTTTTCAGTTTCTTAGAAACATCCAAATTCAGCTAACATGCGAAGAGAAGAGGTTAGGGTTTGCTAATTCCATAGGAATGGGAAGAAGGGAAACATAAGGGAGACAGAAATTTCAGAAGGCCCATATTGGTCCTGATAGATGTCTTCCAGGAATCTGCCTATGCAGGAGTCTGAATTTTATCCTCCTTTGAGTTTACCCAGTGTTCCCCCTGGATGTCAGGACATTTTGATTTTGGACCCGGGGTCCCCTGCTGCCTGTTTGAATGGGGGACCAGGGCTTGCCACCCCCCACTGGTCTCACCCGCGGGCTTCCCAACTGCCTTTCTCAGGAACTGTCTGTGCTATCTCTTCTCTGGAGCATCTATGTGGTTCTTTCCATGTGAGGGGTCCAGGCTGGAAATGGCCTTTTCATTTTGCTCTACCATTTGCCTGCCCAATGCAGGTGACGTCTTCAGAGTCAGCTCTTGCTGTTATTCTGTCTAGTGCCTCCAAGCTGGTTCCAATTCATAGCAACCCTATCTATGTACAAGAGGCCGGAACAGCGCCTGAACTTCGCAAATGTTGTTAGGTTTGAACCCATTGCTTCAGCCACTGAGTTAATTCACTGAGAGCCGCTCTCTCTTCACTGACTCTATCAAGCAGATGATGTCTTTTCTAGGGCCTGATCTCTCTTGACCACATGCCCGTAGTAGGTGAGACAAAGCCTCCCTTCCTCACGTTAAGGAGCATTCTGGATACACTTCTTCCAATGCAAATTTGTTTGTTCTTCTGGCAGTTTATCGTACTTTCCGTCTTCTTCATCAGTACCATAATTCAAATGCATCAAGTCAACTAGGCTCAAATATAAAAATCTAAATACTGTGTAAAACATGAAGGGCTCATGCTCAGAATCGGACAAGCTGAAACCGGTGTCCTCTGAGTGAAGAGTAGCATAGGAATCCCCGCAGCAAATCTCCCAAGAGACTCTCCAGTGGGGCTTCCAGAATAAACCTGTCCTTGGGGGAGGGGGGTGGTGAATGAAATTTAAACATAATACACTTGGACTAAGATAATCTCCAAAGCCCTGAGAAGTCAGTTGTAAATTTTGCAGGTTCTAAAACTACGTTTGGAGAGTTATTAGACAATTAAATCTACACAATTCCTGACTCCCTCTCATTTGATTTTCTCATAAACTTTCCAAGATGCCTGTAGGCAAACTGTAGCACTGTCCAATCAACACTGCTTCCTTGCTCCAACAAGACCAAGCTGAGAGCTACCCTGATAGGGAGTCTAGGGCCTAAAGGAATATGGAAAGTCTGAAGTTCATACCTTCCCTTTTGAACTTTCCCACTCTTGCCCTCCTTTCTTCAGACTTCCTGCCATATTTTCCATCTGACCGTCTTGCTGCCTTCTCATTGCCCGTTGTACTTTCAGTGGACTGGTACCTGCCTAAACCTCTCTCCTGTGTTTTAGCTATGCATATTTGTTGCTTCTTCCCAGGCACCAGTATTCCGTCCACATCCACAAGTGTTATGTCATCTCCTGCCTGAGACACATTAGATTTCACTTGTCTTTGATAACATATAGGACTCCTGGTGACATAGTGGTTATGTAGTTGAACTGCTTACAGCAGGGTCAGGATTTCGAATTTGAAACCACCAGCCAATCTGATGGAGAAAGATGGGGCTTTCTACTCCCCAAAGAGATACAGTTTTGGAAACTCACAGGGGCCATTGTGCCCTGCCCTCTAGGGTCACCATGCATTGGCATCAACTCCATGGTAGGGAATTTAATTTGGGTTTGATAAAATATGAGTTA